CACAACAATGATTATTTCATTTCATAAGCTTATGTGTTCTATTATTGATAACACAATCAATAAAACACTCTCATGCTCATCTTATATTGCACTAATTCTCGAACTATACCATATAAAAAAAACATTTTGATAAATAACGCATTATATCAAAAGCATATGTCAAAAGCATCACATCTTTAATTAGTGCAATCAATAATAATGTGATAAAATATTTCACATTATTCCAAATTGTCATCTCATTACATTCACCCATTTCAAAATGAATCGGATACAAGGATTCTGATTCTCTAATCATATACTTATGGGTCTTTTAGTTTGTCTATGAAAATCATATATTTATAAAAAAAAAATTATGAGAATGTGTCTCCATATTTCAATTCTTCACAATATACGTCAAAGAGGTGCATGTGAGACACAAAAGAATTCAACAACCATATGCATACTCTCGTGACCATTATAAATAGTAGAGTGAGCAGTATTCAACAACACTTTCTTAAAAGCAGATGCCTCAATATCCTTCGAGGTACCAGTGTCCATCCACCATAGTTCAGAGTTACCAGCAAGGTTATATCTGCTCTTTTCACAATCATCACAACCACCAATCCTTCTCTTTAATCAAGTTAACACTAGAACCAGTGTTATACTTTCTTACACTTCCGTGTCATATGACCTAATTTATCGCAATTATAGCAGAGAAATAAAACGTCATTCTTAGAGGATTGACCGACTATCTTTTGGTTACCATGAAAGGCACCATTCTAATTGGTATGGATCTGGTTCACTTAGTACTCACATATAGTACTTCTTCAAAATAAATATGGGCATACAACCCATTCCCATAGCATATGATTATATAATACACATTCATATATAATGCAGAGTATGCATTTATGTAATCAAAATTACTCTACTTCAGTACATTACATAAAACTGTACTCAAATCATCAAGAAACTACATCTCAATGTCAACATAATCATGCACCGATTCTATCTTTTCTGTTTAGCATTCAAAAGGATTCTCGATTCCATGCATAAAGCTAGATAACATAGATTCTAATATTAGAATTCATTAATAACTCACGGAAAAGGTTTTAGTTCTTACCTCTTTTCGAGAAGTCATTTTTTTTATTTCGCACCAAATAGCTAACTTGCAGGTTGGCTTCGAATCAATAATCCGTTGTCTGAATATCGCTTCTTACTGTCCTGTAGAAACGATGCCCAGGAATCATAATAATCATCATGTATCATTTTAATGTCCAATTATTGAGACATATGATTGTTTCTATCACCCACGTCCTCCATATTAGCTTATGCTCTTTTCCATCTTCTCTGAACTATGGAGGGACTTGAGGATGACGATCTGGACTTGAATCCGGTCCACTTGGCCGGTAGAATTCCACATATGGTGGCGATCCACTGTTCTTTTTCTTGCGGAGCTTGGACAAGTGCAACTAATTGCACCTAGTCATTCTTTGATTTACTTGGCCCCAGAAGCAATCGAAAGGCCCAATAAAAAGCCAGCTTGTGGGCCCAAACTCTTCGAAGTTCGAACCAGTAAAAGTAACGATTTATATTCCCCCAATTTCTTTATTTGAGATATAAAGCAGGCGACTTGCGTTCCAGGCTTCCAGCGTATGCCATCTCTCGGTTTAAAGGCACACCTTTGAAAGAGAATTTTTCAATAATCAGCCTATCCTCGAGTATCCGGGTAATTAGCATAAATGGTAACAAACCTTTGCACTTAGTACAAAATGGTCACAAACCTTTAATTTGTAACAAAACGGTAACAAAACTTTGAAATTGTATAAAATGGTCATCGCTATTTAATTTATGACCGTTTTGTTTTAAGTGCAAAGGTTTGTTACCGAATCGTTACAAATTGAATGTTGGTCATGTTTTGAGGTCGGGTAGTTTGTTCGTTAAGTATATGACACTAACCACTTGAACGACATATAAGATGTCAGGTCATGTGTTCATCGATATATTTGGTTTGCCGAATAAGAATGCCCTTAGTTGACCTTTCAATTTCGATACCAAGAAAGTAAGAAAGTAGACATAGTTTTTTCAACTAAAAAGCAGTCCGGAACCCGTTTGTAAGCCATTGAATTCTCTCATTGTCATCCTAAACAACATAATATCATTCACATACATTAACAAAACCACCATACAAGTAGAGTGAATTGTAACGGTGATTGAGCGTTCAAACTTTTGAACTTAATTTGTACAAAACGGTCACCAAAAGTCTAATTTGCAACGACATGGTAACAAAAGTTTGAACTGGTATGAAGTGGTCACAATGTTTAATTTGTGACCGTTTTGTTCTAAGTAAAAAAGTTTTGTTATCAAATGGTTACAAATTAAAGATTTGTGACTGTTTTGTACTAAGTGCAAAGGTTTGTTATCATTTATGCTAATTACCCTCGAGTATCCACTTAGCCCGAGACGGAATTGAAGGGCACAAAAGCCTTCTTTCTTTTCCTTATCCCGGTCTGACACGCTTCCTACTACTTCGTGCTCCGGGTGAAGCCGTAGTCTCGATCTGGACTGGAGGATGCGGATTTTATTGATCTGGTACGGCCCCGTCACGATCAGTGGCGACGAACGATGTTATTGCAAAACTTCGGAACTCCGATAAAATTTCATCGTCACGGCAATAAAAATCATTCGAACCACAATTGGCAGCCTGTTCGGTACACATGACAGCAACCAAACGTCTTAAAATTGTTAAAACCGAATAAAAAAACTCAGGGTTACCGATCTGGCTAAGTCGCGGACTAGGTCGCTCTCTTTAAGACGTTTGCGACACTGCCTCGTATTGCGCACAACATACTATCAGCCGGTCACCTCCAGGATAAAATAGTCACTCTGATTTTGTTGCTCATCGATCTTGTGCGAAAACCGGAGCTCTATGAATTCACTCTCTCTCGTGTTTCTACTCTTATGAGGTTGTGTTTAGAGGGTCTAGGAGTATGCTATTTATAGGAGCAGAAAACCCAGAATATTCCCTCTTTTTTTGAGAATAATTCACATTTTAATTAGGAAGATAATTACTCCATAATTAAAATATATTATATTAAGATAATTAATTATAATTATCTCAATAATATTCTTTTTATTAATTATCCTTCTATTTCCATATCTAGAAAGAATATTGGATAATTAATTCAATATAGCTTTCAAAACTATTCATTCCCAATACTTGCTGCTAACAACAGCAACAATGGCGGCAACGGCGACGAACTCCTCGCCTTCCAAACTGACTCTAAACTTCTAGTCGACACCGAAGTCCGCAGAGTACTGTTTGCAGAAGTGGAGAAGGACTTTGTGGATTTCCTCTCGGCCCTCCTCTCGTTTCCACTAGCATAAGTGATTAGGATCTTGTCCACTGACAAAATGGTTGGTTGCCTTGGCAATTTTTACCAGAGCATTGAAGAACTCAGCGACACATACATCCAGGATAACGTAAACAAGGACACATTTCTGAAGCCCAAAGCCTCATCCTGCCCGGTCCCCAACACTCTATTGTTATCTGATGACAAGAGCCACTATGAAACGGCAACACCATCGCCTAGGAAGGTCTATGCTTGCCAAGATATCTGCTAACAACATGTCCTACCTGCAACATGAGGATGAGCCACGAGGTTCCCTTGTTGGCAGCCAAGCAGCTTCTAGTACTAGTGCACAAAGGGGTGGGTTGGTGAAGGGAGTGGTGACTTACATGGTGATGGACAATTTGGAGGTAAAGCCCATGTCCACCATGTTCAGCATCGCTTTGTTGAATAAGTTCAACATTAGGGTGCGTTTGGATACAAGGATTTGGATTTGGATTTGGTATTTGTGATTTGGATTTTCAAATACCAAATCATGTGTTTGGATATTAATTACATTTGGTATTTGGATTTGTGTCAAATTCATGGGGTGATTTCCAAATACATGTCTAGTGTATTTTTTGTCAACTTCAAATACAAAAGAATGGACCTATTTGTAAAATATGAAAAGTTTAGGTACTATAGTGTGAGGCAAAACATATAAAGGTACCAAATTGTAATTTTACCATCAAAATTTCAGGACCTTTTTGTAAAATTTTAAAAGTTTAGGTACTAAATTGTAAGAAAAAATAATTTTGGGTACCAAACTGTAATTTACCAAAATTTGTAGTAAGTGACCAGAAAATTAAAAATTGAAATTGAAAATCATAAATAAAAAATACAAACAAATTACAAATGAGTATCCAAACAATGAATTTGAATTACATGTATTTGAAATGCTAATACTTCAAATACATCCATTTCAAATGCTAGTATTTCAAATACCTTACATTTAAAATACACTTATCCAAACGCACCCTTACGGAATTGGGTTCCCTTGAGGAGAAGGTTGTTGAGCTAGGCATTGACCAGGTATGTCCTATCGTCTTTGGTTTCCCCCCTTCCTCTCATATGTATTGTATGGTAGAATTAATGTAGAAGGAAAATCAATTATCAGGGGATGAATCTGCTGAAGGCTTCTCTAGAGTCTAAAACAGTGTTGACAAGAGTCTTCCTTGGAGCATGACCTATTCAGCATTTTTACTTGGCGGGATTCTGCTTCACTGTTAAGTTTTTTTTTTTTTGTTGTTGCTATGTGGTCTTTGGAATTGGAAACCTTCTGTTGGTTGGTTGTTGATAACTTTCAAGTGTTCTCAGTATTGGCTTTTCTTGGACGATCTTTAGAATCTTCTCTTTGAAGCTCTAACAGTTTACGCGATGCTTTTGACTTGATATGCTTTGGAATTTAGTTGATTTGCGAGTTGATCATATTTCAGGGACAACTCGTTTTCATAACTGAAAAGTTTTATTTCATGCTATATTCTATCCATCTACAAATAAATATAAGGGAATGTCAGGGTAAATGAATTGCCACGTCAGCCCGTGCTCAATAGCCCGCGCACTGCGGAAGGGTTTCTTCGTCATTCCAACGACCTTTCGTATTCCTTTCCCACCTCTCTATTTCTCTTCCAATTTCTCGTACGAGGTCTCACCAGGAGCTTCTCCCCTCCGGTCCGACTCCTTGCCGTAACACAGAAACCCCATTCCGAAATCCCTCTAGCATACGGCGCCCCTTCTACACCGCAACTTCTCCCCTTTGGTCCGACTCCTAAATGTCCTCCTAGAGTGGTCGTCAGAACCACCGTTATAACCCAATAGAGTGAGCAACTAACCTCCCATGTTGTGGACGGCACCCCATTGCTCACCACCGCTGACCTGAAAATTTAAGCCAACTCTCTCTGTTTGCCTCGCCACGTAGAGTCAAGAAGTTCATTCTCACTGTAGTTCCACCGAGATTGGCCAATTAACCTCTCATAGTGCGTAATCAGAGCTATATCCCTTGTACCTGTAAGTTCCCTTATTTAGGTTTCTTTTTTAATTTGGATTTTGACTGTGTTTCTGGGTTTTGCCTCAAAACTTAATTACCTCTCTCCTCGAGTGCCAGCCGGATAGTCTTCTTCTCTCCAATGGCAACAGGCTGCTTCTTGCCTTCCAAATTTTTGTGTATGGTTTTGTTTCTCAGGTTGGTAATATAGAGCTTTTGGAAGCCCAAAAACTTATGATCAGCTGGTATTTATTTATCAATCTCAGGGTTTGTTTCTCAAGTTCGATTTATCACTGCCAAATTGATCTTAATGGTAGTCAAAATTTGAATAAAACTCTCTACATTATGACTGAAAAACTACTGAGAATCTTTGCTGCATATTTTGGATTATGTGAGTGTTGGAGGTTTCTATCTTTCTTTCCTCTGATTTCCTCTAATGTAGTTTCTCTTGCTGATAAGTTTGGTGGTTTGGCCATTTGTATAAATTTACCATCAACATGAGTCTTTTTCTTTAACCAAGTATTTTATGTTTTCTTTTCATGGAAGGTAAACTTGCAAGCTTAATGGAAGTAGAACAACACTAAATATATTCACCAAGACCCGGGGATGTCAGAAGGTGACAAAACCACTAGCAAAGGGAAACTAAGAGAAGAACCAATGCTTCAGTAGGTAGACAAGTTGTGTGGGTATTGAGAATTATTGAAATGCTGCCAACTTGCAGTTATAATGAGGTTAGTTTGCTGTAGGGATCAATTCCTTATCGTTTGACTCTAATTTAGATACCCAGGTTGATAAGTAAAACTTACCCACTATTCTGTATTTTCAATCTACGATTATACTTGGTCGTAGTTTGGTGTTGTGTTTTAGCGAGTCAGCAATCAGATGACATCCGGTGAGGGATAGTGCTGGAGGAAATCCTAAATCTGCGTGATAACTTTGGTCAGATTAGTCATTGGTTTGTTGGACGTAATAGTAATAGGGTTGTCCATTAGGTGGCATGAAAGACACTTTTATTATTTTCTTCTTTAGTTGGATATGATTTTATTACTTGGCAGTTTTTAGTCATGTGACTTTTTGTATCTCGTTGTTTTCCTCCGTAATAGGAACACAAACTTTTTTTTTTTTTGTGGAAATAGGAACAAAATCTTATAATAAAGAAAAAATTATGTTATTTTAATTCTAAAAATAATAAAACCTCATTTTTTTCGGTAAAGTTAAACTCAGTCGCCGAGTTGATACCGTGTCAATTAACGCACAAACTTCTCATACTCCTGTTTTTGTAACCCCCTCTCCCCCTTCTTTCCTGAATGTACAAATGACAATGAGGACACAAACACAACACAAAAAGAGATACTGAGATTTGCTTCCCCTTTTTCTTCCTTTCCTTTGATTCTTTCTCCATATTACCTTACCCCGTTGGTTCCTTCTTCCAATTTCTCCTCTTCGTTGCCTATTAATTGCTTTCCATTTCTAATAATTCTCTCTTAACTACATACAATCAAACCATTTTTAGATAGTGAAATCATGTCGGTGAGTTCTGTGAAACACTCATAATCTTTTCTTCTTTCAATGTGCCTTCTATTTGCTTTGTTAATGACTTGTCTAAATCAATAACATGATTGAATCGCGACATAAATAGTGTTAAGAAGATCACACATGTAGAGTTGCAATTTTCTATATCTATCATACATTTTTGTCATGCATACTAAGAATTTTCGGATGATGCAAAATAGGTACAAGTTCCACCGGCACAAGAATGTATGTACAAAAATGAACAGAAGGGCGCCACCGGAGCAGAAGACCCAGCTGCCAGTTTTTGGTCATCCAATTGGACCATAAATGTTTTAGATGTGAGTGGATATAGAAGTAATCCCATTTTTTTTCTACAATCTTTGTATTCTATCACTAAATTGGCTACAAATGGGATATGTATATATATGCGTGTAGGTAAAGACTGTTCAGATTAACAACCTTCCATCAAATGCCACAGAAAGAAATATTAGAGATTTTTTCTCCTTTTCTGGTGAAATTATCATACACGTTGAATTACGAAGGTATATATAGTTATGAATGCGGTTTTTGTTATCCCACCTTGAACCGAGTATAACTAGTTTCATTAAGAATGTAATTGCAGAGAGAGTGAAGCAACTCAGGTGGCTTATGTAACCTTTAAAGAGTCACAAGGAGCAGATACCGCCCTTCTTCTCTCTGTAACTCTCTTCCCAGTCCGTTTTTTCTTCTTTTTTATTTATGGCTTCCTCGAATTTGTCCTTGTTTTCACTTAACTAATCGTAATTTACTGAAATTGTATCAGGGATCCATCATAGCTTATAACTCCGTCACTATCACTCCTGTTGAAGATTACATTTTGCCCCCAGAAGCCTCCCGTATCTTGGTAATTTTCTGTCACATCCTTATTAGAATCTGATTATTTCCCTACCGATTATCATAAACTTACAATATTTTTCTTTATATGAATTATAAGAAGTTGGCCATTGTAGCCCCTACAATTTGCTTGTGTAATAGTTATCAATAACTCTGATTCTCTTTTCGGATGAGTTATTTTGCCAATGAGGTACTTGGAAATAAATTATGCATTTGTTCAAATGTGGCAATTCATAAATTATTCGGGACTTGTGATATTAGAATTATCTTATTTTATTTTATTGTAGTATTCATACAAAAATAAAGATAATTTTCTATGATGTCCCTACTAAAGAAAGAGCAAGAAAATGAGAGTTGGAGAGAGCAAAGAACATGACACTAGCAGAAAAAAGAGGTTGAGATGAGTTATTTGAAATAATTAGCGGGAGATGTGACATTTTTCTGAACTCAAAATGAGCGATTTCAATTGGCTCAGAATGAAAGTATCATAACCCATTTTTTTTTAACCAAACAAGTGATTCTGAATTATTCAGGTCAAAATTTATTTATATACAAAAGAATGGTTTCCTTGACACTATAATCCCAACTTCAAGGTCATTAGCCATTGAGTTGAATGTGGACCCTTTCAAATTTTTTTTTTATTTTTACTCTATTTTCTTTTATTTTTATCTATTTTAATTTTTTTATTCCTACCTCCCAATATGTGTTATTGTTCATCAATATTTGTATTTTTTTTTTTGTTTGTATTTGGTTTTGCATGTTTAGTAATATTGCTCGAGCTCAAGTAGGAAAAACACCGAGAAATCTCCTGAGTGTCATTCATTAAACTCAAATAGACATTTTTGTTCAGTTCTTATTTGGTTTTGCATTTTTAATTATGTCTCTCTCGCTCGAGTTCAAATAGGAAGGCCACAGACTAATCTCTCACTCCTCATTAATAAGGCGGAAGTGACCTCATAACTAACGAAACCATATGATATGTTCTTCCGTTTTTCCCCTCTCTGTTATTTTTTGAATTTCACATACAAAAATTTCGTAAATTTTCTAATTAATAGTTGTCAAACTCCAAATATGTTGATTGAAACCCTATAACTCGTAGCTTCATTGACACAAATTGCTATGATAGTCTTCTTTGTAATTTTGCTTGCTGGTTTTAGAATTATATTTTATTAATTCTTGAATACAACACATTTACGTACAGTGCTAGTAACTTATTGAGAAACAGAGCGAGAAAACAGTTTGTACCTTTATTTTTTATTTGTTTCCCTTTCCTTGTACATGTGTTGTTTGTGTTTGGTTTTTACAAAGGAGGAAGTGATGAAACCATCAGTAGGAGCGGGGAGTAGGAATAACTTGGCAATAACGGTGGCGGAGGAAGTGGTGAGCAGCATGCTAGCGAAGGGATTGGTGATGGGGAAAGATGCGCTACACAAGGCGAAAGCATTGGACGACCAGATCCTCCACCTGACGTCAAACGCCACCGCCATCGACCAGAGGATGGGGCTGGTGGAGAAGCTCGCCCAAGGGATGGCCGCCGTCAGGAAGATGGAGCGGCGGTTCCAAGTCACCGAAACAACTAAATCCGCCCTCCTCGCCGCCGGCTCCGCACTGATGGACAGCGACATCGAGTACGTAGCCGCCGGTGCTTCCTGGGTCTCTGCTGCCATCGCCACCATGGTAAGGGCCGTGGCGGACGTCAAGGTGATGACTAAGGAGAAGCTGGAGAGGGCGGAAGAGGAGAAGCGAGCCTTGCTTCTACAGGAGAGGACAGGGAGCATTGTTAATAAGCTGGCACACATGCACTTTGACCATCCTCCCCATTTTCATTCTCCATCTGACCCCAGAAAGCTTACTTACTACTAATACCCCAAAACCACACTGGATCCATCATCTATCTACCTTACCCCTCATTCATTTATGTTATTGTTATGCATCTCAACTTTCTTCAAATACATCATATCCAAAAAGAATTCATTTATGTTGTCCCCCCTCCAGTTTGGGTTTCAAATGCAATTTGACATATGCAAAAACATATATGCTTAACTTAAGTACTAGCTAGGGCTTTATATATAGAGTTTTTTTTATTAAAAAAAAATCTAATATTACTCCCACTCAGATAACGTCTGTTGAAATTCACAAGGCTTCCAACTACTATTTACCCCAAAACTCTACTCTCATCGTCTACTCTGTAGTAGCCCCAAAAGTCGCCCTCACAAGAAGCAAGCAAAACCACTAATTAGCTTACTGGGACCCCAAATTATAGGTGTTAATCAGACTAGATTCAATCGGGTTGCGGGTTAGTCGAATTTCGGGTTAATTGTGTTAGGGTTCAAACGGGTTGCGGGCAAATCGAGTTGCGGGTTCATCGGTTTTTGGGTCGGCCGGGTTGGGGGCGGATCGAGTTGTGGGTTGTTCGGGTCAACGCATCGAGTAAATTACTCCTTACTCGTTACCAACTTACACATTTTATTACACTAATTCAAAATATTTTTCTCAATTTTTAATCAATTTCTTTCTACCTCGTATATATACTTAATGTAAAAAAAAAAAAATAGTCAAAATGTTGAATCAATTTGTATGACTTGCAAACTTGTTATGTAATTAATCGTAATTGGTAAAGTACACTAGGTAATAGTAATGATGATATCAACATTTGCAACCAAAAGATACCATTAATTGTTTATTTGGTATTTTACTATTATTTCAGTAGTAATTGGATTAAAGTATCTCGTTTAGTATAACCATGCTAATATGGTATTCGGTGTGTGGTATTTGGCTAAAGCAAAGTTGTAAAATGAGTTATTTCGAAATAACTCATTACCCAAATAACTTCAGTAAACTGTTGTCAAACGAGTTATTTGTAAAATTGTTCGAACTACCCTAAAACTTGAACCATTAAAGATTAACTATCAAATTTAGTAAAATTGTTGTGACTTCAATCATAACTTACTCAATAACATATATCTTATACACTTAACCTTACCCTCAATCGACAATATTAAGTTAGTATATGTTGTTGATCGTATACCATAAACCACCAATACATTATACACTAACCACATACCCTATACCTTAACCATATATCCTTATGAGTTGTGATTTTGCTAGGATAGTTATTTAAAGTGAAATTCATACTTTGATTTTCAAAACATAGACAAAAAAGTGATATTTTCTACACCCTAACCATATATCCTATACTCTACACCAAATACCTTATCCCCTAACCACGTGCAATAAACGTAGAAGCATAGAAAACAAGTAGACAAATTTGGTGAATTTTTCTAAAACAAATTATTGTTGTAACTAATGGTTAATTTAGTTATTAGACCATAAAAAGTTACATATATATGTTAACCCTCAAAGCATATATGAATAAATTTAATTAGTCCTACCCTCTATATAAAAATTAAAGACTCATATTTCAAATGCTAAAATTTTGGAAAACCAAAAAGTTGAAACCACCAAATTTGTTTCCTTCTTTCTTTTCACAAAAAAAAAATTACAAAAATTCCCCTCATTCTTTCTCCTTACATAAATTAAAAACACTCAATTTCTCCTCCTTTTTTTCTTCCATAAAATTGAAGAACCAAATTTTCATCTTCCTCCCTTTCTTCCACAAAAAGTTGAAAATTCAAAATTTTCCTCTTAATTTCTCTGTCATAATCAAAAGAACCAAACTTTCCCACTTCTTTCTCTTCCCAAAAATCAAAACCACCAAAATTTTCCCTTGTTCTTTTATAAAAAATTCAAAGAACCAAATTTACATCTTCTTTCTCTTTCCATAAAGTTAATACACTAAAATTTCTCTCTTCTTTTAAAATTATCAAATTACCAAATACATTACTTTACTTTATTTATATTTAATTGATAACTTTATTTAATAGTTAAATTAACAAAAATCTTAATTTATATATTATGTTAATATTGTCCATGATCTCAATTATTAATTTTATATTATTAATATTGACATTGTACTGATTTTATATTTAATTTTTTAAATAACTTAGTGTTCAAGTGACTTCCATGTTTCAATTTTAGTAATTTTCTTAAAATAATTCATATTTGTAAAATTGCCTATACGAAATGAAAAAAATAATTTTACCTAAGTTTAGTATAGAAAAATTTATTTTGAAAAACTATGTATTATATAATATAATAATTATTCAAGTGGATTAGGTGAAGTTCGGGTTGAGTCGGTTGAGTTAAGGGTTAGTCGGGTTCTGGACAATTGGGTTTGGGTTAATCAGGTTGCAGGTTTAATCGGGTTGTGGTTCGGGCGGGTTACGGGTTGTTGACTTTTAGTCAATTTGGGTTGCGGGCGATTTGCGGGTCGAGTTGATCGGGCGGGTTAGTCGGGTCAGGTTCTGTTTTGACACCTATACCCAAATGGACAATAATGCCAGAGGTTGTGCAGCCAAGTTAAGTGTAAACATTTCCTAATACGCAGGTATGCAGATTATTTGCTTCGCTTCTCTTATGCAGCTGCAAAAGAGAATAGGGAATTAGTTGATCATTAGAATGAGTAACTGCAGTGTTGGGATGTGAGAAAACCCAAAGGAATTTGAGCACAAAAAAAAGAAGGGAATCCAAGCCCAAGAAAAAAGAGAGACCAACCCAAAAGAGGGTCTCTAACAACCGAGGCGCGTAACGACAAGTCCTGACAGCAATGACGCATAACGACAAAAGACACATATCAGTCGAAAGGGTACAAAAAGATGACATGATTATGTCATGCGCCTTGACTCACTGAATCGTCGTCAGGTGGTCGAGGCACACGATTAAAGCAAGGTATGAAGAATTAATTACCATGCTAACATAGGGCGGATTTGGGAGATGTTGGTCGGGAAGGCTCCTGATATAAAAAGGAGAGTACGTAACTTCATTAATTAATTCAGTTGAAATTCTCTCACTAAAGTCTCTCTCAACTTCTCTCTCTACGATATCGTGATGACTTGATCGTCAAAGTGCTAACAGGCGATCTAAGCAAGCCAGGACGTAAAGTGATGTTTCAGCCGTTAAGGGCCAATACTCAAGGTGCTCATTGGTTGATATTGCCAACAGCGCGAGATTTCTGCACCTTTGCTCCACCTCTTCACCAGCTCGAGCAACTGTTAGGATGAACTTATGGATAAAAAAACTAGTGAAACAGGAAAACTACGAGAATAATCGATAATTGATGTTTTGGAAAAATATAATGAATTTACCATAAGAAGTTGTGAATTGTGGGGAGGAAGCATTCGAAGTCGAGGACCTCTTGTACCATCGATTCCAGGGCCACTACTTTGCATCGACTGTAAGCATACTTTCCCACATGGAATTTTGTAAGAAACACGAATCTAGACGAGTCCAGCTAGGGGTTAGAGAATTGGAAATAGAGAAACAAAATTAGGAATTTGGTCAAGAAAGAAGAGGGATTGGAAGTAGGAGGAAATTCGGCCATGCCAAAGGAGGGAGGAGGCCGACAATTTGGGGAGAGAAAGATATAGGGATTTTGGATTTTCTAGAGGGAGATAAAAGGTTTGGGGAATAATTATGTGTTATTGCTTAATGAGAAAAACCTCATTAGTACAAAATATATAAGGACGATAAATTCTCTATAACTACCCGAATTAATGTCTCATACTCAAAATATTCAAATACTCGCAACCCCCCCCCCCCCCAATAGCATCCAAAATCCATAGAATAGAAATAAACGACAATCAAGTAAAAAATAGATAAAAGTCCCAGAATTTATGTTTCTAACAATCCACCCTCATAGAGACCAACCTTTCCCTCAAGGTTGGCATTACTTTTGCAACTCTGTTTTTTTTTTTTTTTGCCTCGTTCGTCTCCTTAGTCGCCATCTCCCCGCCTTCGTCCTCCCTGTTGCCCACCAACAACATCAAATGAACCCTCCTTCGTGCTTATATTTTTGTTTAATGAAAAAGAAGAAAATAAAAGAGGGAATGAAAAAGAAGGAACAAATTGGACGGAGAATGAAAGTATTAACCGATAATGTAAGAAATGTAACAAATAAGGGGGAAAAGAAAATTGAAAGTATAGTCGGGTGTGATTTGACTTTGTTTAATACTTCGTCTATTTTTACTTATGGTAGTAATTACGTATATATATATTTATGATCACTTCTAACAACAGTAAATAATTTTTATTGCACTTGTTCTTTCTTATACTCAATAGGGTCTCAAAAATATTAGGCCTGACACGGCCCATTTACATATCGTGTCGTACCCGTGCCCATAAAGTTTAGACCCGCTCCACAATTTTTCGTGCTCGTGCAAGACCGGCCCATATATATTGTGCTCATGCTCATACCGTGCCGTGTTGTGCTAGCTCGTGGGCGGCCCGACCCGTTGCCCATGTACAGTTGGAATGCACTCTGGTGGACACCGGGTTTGCCTCTACTGGTGTTGCAGCGGACGCAGGTGTACCCCCGAAGCCACTTCCGCGTTCGACCGGCTTCCCGATCCGTTCGCTCCCTTTGAGAAGCGTCATACACTCCCCTTCCATCTAGCTAGATACTCCTCCTTTCGAACGGCAAGTCTAAAAGCAATTCGAAGTGAATCAGGCTAAAAATCCTTGAACGAGGCTGCCAGCTGACTCGTCCCGAATATCACAATAAAACTCCCAATTAGGGCCCAAGTATAAACCTGAATTGGGTGAAATGTAGGGCAAGTATGTTTAAATATCAACCCGGGCCGTTCCAAGTACCCCTACTTCGATTGTTTGAAACATTATCTAGCGATTGGTTTTTGGTGAAAACAACGATATATAGCTAAAACATTTTGAAAATTAAATGGATTTGACACTAATTGAGAAGGCTTCACCCGGATGTTGCTCCCCCTAGCTAACAATTATGACTTGTCAGATCGAATGAACACGTGCGGTAAGGAGGTTGTAAACCACAAGGAAGTGCAATAAGTGAACAAATGCCACTCTCTCGGTCAATAGGTCAAGGGAATTTGATTCAAGCTACCAAAGTAGCTCTCTTGAAAAGAAAGGGGGTTTTCTCTCTACCTAGGTTAGAA